ATGATGATGTTTCGATATATATCACCAAGAGTATTTTTTGTGTCTTTTAGCAATTTTTTGTGTGACTGCACTATAACTGTGTTGGTCATTTAGTGGAAGGAAACTTATTTATGCAATACTCTTGACAAATTCACTGTTTTGATGATTAAAATGTTGTATTTCATGTTAACTTTGCAAAGGCAGTGGTTTAACAAAGAAATATTGCATAAGAGTATCGTGCAATATATCGAGTCTGTAATGTATTGCCATATTGTGATAATATCATTTATCGTATCAAATCGTGAGGGCCCCTGTGATTCCTAAGTCTGATTCATCAGCTGGTTTCACTTCATTTCACTTTGTAGAAATCGTCTGACCTCACAGCATTGGAATTCGTTCGCTCGACAGTAGGCGGGTACAGTCGTCCCTTGCTATATCGCGGTTCACCTTTCGTGGTCTCGCTGTTTCGCGGATTTTTTTGTGCAATTTTGCGTGATTTTTTTTACAGCGTATGAACGCGTATTGCATAATATGGGTGTGCAGTAATTACACACAGGTGGGTCAGGCAAAACCATGTCTAAACAAGGACTAATCTTGGACTTAAGAGAGAGAACGCCGAGCAGTTTGTCTGCAAAGCGCGATCAGGCAATTGCCACGCTTACCTCTGTGAGGTGTGGAGCTCTGCCTCCGAGCCCGTCCCAACAGTGAGACCTGTTTCAATTCTGGTTTAGTCCTGTTTTAGTCCTAGATCATTCCTGGTTTAGTCGTCCTCTTCAGCCTGGAATCAGTCCTGGGTTAGTCCTGGTTTAGATTTGGTTCAGTCCATAGAGTAGACAGTGCAAAAGTTTGATATAATCTCAGGTTAACAGGCAGGTGCGTGGGTGCGGCATTGTACTGCTGTAAAATATAATGTTGACTACTTTGTGGATTTCACCTATCGCGGGTTATTTTTAGAACATAACCCCCGCAATAAACGAGGGATCACTGTACTTTTTTCATTTAACCAATCTCTGCTATTTGGTCGTGATGTATGTAATGCACTGCTAACAGGGCTAACTGGTATCTTTTTGTAAGATTTTCCCAAATCCTGTAGGAAGAAGAGTTAGGGTTAGTGTTAGGCAATAATCTTTCCTCTTGATGGAATTCACTAAACATTCCCTTTGTTCCATCTTTAAATCCTCGATCTCAGGAATTGTTGACAACACTGAATGTATGGCTCTTCGCTGATTGGCTGGTGCCTGAACTTGCACTTCGGGGTATTTTTGCGAACCGTCTAGTGTATTCTGATTCTTGACCTAGTTGCTGGAGAGAAATGAAATTGAGCGGAGGCACTAGGTGGCGCCAGCCTGGCTAGTGATTCCCAACCCAAATAAAAAAAACACTTCTTTTTTTTTTTTTTTTTTTAACAATAGAATGTCAATTTCAACATAAAATGGTGGTACTTTCATATGACCATGTGCCTTATATCTGTGTACTCCCCCAGTCGTCCAGGTAGGTTCCATGGTGGTTCTATTCAGGAAAGATTCATTTTTGTCCTGTGAACATGACTTTTTTTTAGTATTGATACTTGTTTAAATGAATATCTCTTATCAGTTCTAGTTTTAGTGATTTACAATACTTTTTCGATACTTTTGTGTTATTGGAGAATTATTTGATTCATAACCTTGTGCAGCCAGATGGATTCTCGCGACATTGGTGAGTTCACAAACTCAAGAGAATCCATCTTGGGGTGCTCCCGCTGTACGGTTTAAATTGGACTCCTGCAGTGGTCGGCCCAATCACAGGGCTTCTATGGTAGGGGGAGGAAAAACAGTTAAATTGGTTTATGGACATCTCTCTCCAGCATGACACTTGTTTGATTTTACCTGGAGCAAGTTGGACACGTCATTTTCACATTTTCAAGTTGGCCTTGAAAGCAACTGGTGGGCAGACGCTTCAGGGTGGTTCGCTCAATCAACTCGAGGCATTTTTCCTTTTTCTAAATGCTTTCAGCAAGAGCCGTTCCAGATGGGGAATGTGTAGAACTCAATTCAAAAGCCAGGTTATTTGATTCATGCAATGCCTCCATAGAATCAAAATTATGATAACACTGACTTTAGAGCAGGATATGGTTCATTTGCTATCCAGTGAATGACCGGTTTATTGCTGTATTAGTCACTGAAACAGAAGAGTGGCAGAGAAATGTTTTTTTTTTCCAGAATATATATATTTAAGAGACAAACAGAGCTACATTCATTCAAACACACACTCTATACAGACCCAGGCAGCCCTACAGCCGTACAAATACATGTTGTTTATCAGATTTTCCTTTTATTATAAAAGAAATGTGATATTATTACTTTGTATACTGTGTTATACTGTGAGGGTCACTGTCAGAGCATGCACTTTCTTTTGGTTTTGTCCAGAAAGAATGTTTGCAGATGACTGTGAATGCTACAGCCTTGAGTGTCAGATATTAGATAAGAAATCAGTTCAGTATCAGTTGAACTACCACCATAATAGCTATATCACATATATACTTATCGTTTAATGCAGTTTAAATCTAATCATTATTTCTGGGGAGATTTTTTTGTTCTAGTGGGGCAGTTTTAGTTATTTAGCAGTACTACAATTAGATTTGAGCTCAAGAAAGTATAACTAATGATTTAAGTGTTCCATTCAGGTGTTTATTCTTTGCATTGCAGCTCATTCTCACTTTTATTTTATTTTTTTTCACAATATTGCACATTTAGACTAGTTATTGTGTCAGTGCCATAAATTAGTTTCAATATTATAATGTACCATCAATATTTTCTTCAACTATATATTGTGTTGTTATCATGATATGTAATACCAAATGTCATAGGATAGTTAAACTACTTTAACTATTTCTGAATGTATTGGCTTTATTGTTTTGTTTATAATAGTAGTAGTTTTTTGTTTGTTTAACAGGGTCAATGCACATAAAAACTTTGATTAACACAAAATAGGAGATACTGTAGTTTTGAACCATACATAAAATTCAAGACCAAATTTAGAGATGATATTTTTTCATGTAGAGCCTGTATTATATCTCTGAATTTTAATCTTTCCCAGATATGCCCACCAAAACGAAATAAATCCTTCATATCTGCTGTGTATTTTGCGGTTGTTTTCAAAATTGGTTCATTGGCACTCTCATTTCAAAGTGGAACTAAACACTAAATCTGCTTTTTTTACTTCTAAACTGTGTGTATGGTGTGTATGGCTTCTAGTTTTTTGTTGTTTTGTTTTAGAGCAAACTGGGTACATTTGCGGCTTTCTATTCAAAAAGAGTGTGTGCTCTCTTCAGTGACCGTTGTAATTTTAAGTACTACACAACATCACACATGACTGCCCTGCTTACAGCGAGGTGTTTCTGATTACAAACAATGTGGCAGAGTTTAGGTGTTTAGTCCCACTTTAATGTTTAGTAAACTATGATAGAAGTTATAGTCCAATGAGGTCTATTTGGTCTTCCGAAAAGAATGTTGTTAGGTTATTTTTCATACCAAGTGTTTGTTTTCATACCTGACAGTTTCGACTGCTCAGTAGCGCTCTTCCTCAGAGTGGTGATGTTGCTGTGACGTGTCCGGTCAGTTGATTTATACAGGTTTTGGCGCTGTCTTCTCACTGGTGGAGGCAGAACGACAGCGCCATCTACAGTCCAACTTCCTCAAGACAGTATCCCAGGTGTGTGAGAGTAAAAAGTAACCCTCAACATAAAACAAACACCGTCACTGGATTAAAGACAATCGAAATATGGAAACATGCCCATGGGACTATAAACCGGGATGGGGGGGGGCTTTTTACTCTCACACACCTGGGATACTGTCCTGAGGATGTTGGACTGCAGATGTCGCTGTGGTCCTGCCTCCACTGGTAAGAAGACAGCTCCAAAATCTGTATAAATCAGCTGACCAGACCAACCTCCAAACAAACTAAATGTGAACTTGAAGGACAAGGTACATCAGAGTCAGATCGCACCATCTGTCACTGTTTGAGCCAAAGTGGACTTCATGTGAGGACACCACTGCTGAGAGCAACTCATAAAAAAGTGAAACTAGAATTTGCCACAATGCAAATTGACAAGCCACACACCTTCTGTGAGAACATCCTGTAGACAGATGAGACAAAACTGGAGCTCTTTGGCACATCAGCTCTATGTTCACAGACGCAAAAATGAAGCAGACCAAGAAAAGAACACTGTCCTGACTCTGAAGCATGGAAGAGGCTTGGTTTTGTTCTGGGGCAGTTTTGCTGCATCTGGCACAGGGTGTCTTGAATCTGTGCAAGATACAACAAAATCTCAAAACTATCAAGGTATTTTGGAACGAAATGTGTTGCCTAGTGTCAGAAAGAAGCTTGGTCTCAGTTATAGGTCATGGGACTTCCAACAGGAGAATGACCCAAAACACACAGCTAAAAACACACAAGAATGACTAAGAACAAAACACTGGACTGTTCTGGAATGGTCTGGAGTGGTCTTCTGTGAACTCTCACACACCTGGGATACTGTCCTGAAGAAGTCGGACTGCAGCTGGCACTGTTATCCTGCCTTCTCCGGTGAGAAGACAGCACCAAAACCTGTATAAATCAACTGACCGGACATGTCACAGCAACATCACGTGACCATTCTGAGGAAGAGCGCTACTGAGCAGTCGAAACTGTCAGGTATGAAAACAAACTCTTGGTCTGAAAAAAGAACCTAAAAACATAATATATGATAGAAGCTCTTAATGAATGGACAAAATTTACATAATCTTATCTAATTCTAGTCACCGCATCACACAATCTTTCTGAAAAATTCCATAATTATTGGATGACATTTTCAATTTGATTTAAGAGGTAAAATGATATCAATAATCACCATTTTTATATTTTATTCTTACATTTCCTGACACTCAAAGCTGCAGGTCTGAGCACTCCCGGGCATTTGCAGATGCTGTTAGACTCACGTCCAGTTGTGTACATAGTGACTGTAAGTTGTATTGCACTGAATTTAGTTATAACGATAGGCCCCATTTTCCCCCATTTTCTCTGTCCAGTTTACGAGAATCCCCCTGCGTGTCTCGTCCATGGTTCGATTCTCTTTGGTCCAGATTTTTGTACATCCTCGTTTGCAGCGGTAGCAAAGTATTGTCCCCATAATCCAATAATAATCCTTAAGCGAAAAACAAAAAATGCCGTTTCACTCGCTCCAAGTGTTAAATATTTGGGAGGATTCAGGGTTGTAGTAGAATATCTTGATTGATTATTGATGTATTTCCATAGAGTTTGTCGAGTTTGTATTTTTGAGTTAGTTAGTCACAACAACCACAATCGAACCGTCTCCCGCCTCCTCGTCTTTTTCCTCCAGTGATTGGACGACACACGGCACAGGTTCAAAAGGCGAGCGCTCTGATTGGATAGTCCCGCCCATCTCTGCGCTCTGATTGGACAGTCCTGGGCTGGAGCCGCGCGTCGAAGGCAGGTCTTCTCTCAGTGGCGAAGGGGTCAAAGAGCACGGTTCAGGCTCCAGCGTCAAGGTGACCTCCTCCACCTGAGAAGAAACAAAACCAGGTAGAGTTACAGTTATGTGTGGAAAAAATTGTATTGTGATTAAGCAGTGCACATTGTAAAGCATGTCCAGGAGTAACAATATTTAAAAGCACAAAGGAATATGAACTGCTAAACTTAAAAATCTAAATGAATAATAGACTCCAGGACATACTTATAGAGCACGAGTGGGCAATTATTTTTTCCATGGGGTCACATGAGAATCGGAAAATATTGTGGAGGGCCGAGCCGAAATACTTAACTCAATTCTGCAATCGTATTTGTTTATAAAAAGCAGTTTTGACAAGCTGCTAAGACTGGTGAGAGTTTATGTTATGACTAAGCAATGAAAAAGTGAGGTCGCCTTACAAAAAATGTCATTTAAAAAAAAAAACACCTCTAAAATAAAAGCCAATCAGCTTTAGTCCATCCATGAACCAGACTGAAACAACAACCTTGAACCAGATCGAACACCTTTTGTCAAATAAAATGATTACTGCTGTTAAGCCTGTCACGATAAATACTTCTGTATATCCACTCATCATTCACTATAAAACATGGAATGATACTTTGTGAGGGTCAGTATTTATGGTGTGTACTTTTTTCTGAGGACATTTTTGTTATTTTTCTGAACTGCAGTAAGATTTAAACTGCAGTTACTTTTTCCATGGGGCCACATGAGAAACAGAAAATATTGTGGAGGGCTGGGTCAAAATGCGTAATTCAATTGTGCAATCGTATTTGTTTATAAAAAGCAGTTTTGACAAGCTGCTAAGACTGGTGAGAGTTTATGTTATGACTAAGCGATGGAATAGTGAGGTTGCCTTACAAAAACTGTCATAAAAAAAACACCCCTAAAATAAAAGCAATGCAGCTTTAGTCTATCCATGAGGTAAAATCGTAAAATATGTTTATTTTTTAATCCCAAATTATCTTAAAAGGGCCGGTCAGAGTCAATCAAAGGACTGTCTGTGGCCTGGGAGCTGTACAATGTTATAGAGGCTGAAACTTCGTCTGCAGTCGGTTATGTCAGAAAACTCCATAGAGACAGTGTATTTTGCTGTTTGCAGAAGATATTAAATTAAATCTATGGCAGTGGTTCCCAAAGTTGGGACCCCCTGGAGGGTTGTGAAGCACTAAACTGGGGGTTGCAAGATATCATTTAGAAAATATCTAAATCTAATATTTAAAGGTGCACTGTGCAACCTTCTTGTTTCTATGGAAATATCATTGCTCTGCTTTGAATGTTACACAATATGAAACAAAATAGATGTACCTTACATTTATTAAATTAAATGTGGTTTTATTGGCCAAAAACATCTAAAAAACAGGCATTCTGTCTGTGAGCAGACACCTCTCCACAGATCTGGGGCCTCATTTATAAAAACTGCGCAGGAGTTGTCGTAAGTTAGTGCGTAAGCCTAGTAGCTACGACAAGGCGTGCGCCACGCAAACTCCATATTTAGAAAACCCACCGCACGCACCAAACCACGCAATCTTTGCTTTATAAATCCCACCTGCAACTACAATTTGCACACGTAAACCCACGTCACATCACGCCCTCTCCACACCTCCACCTCACCATAAAAGGAGCATGTAAAGTGACTCGTGAATGAGATTTCCCTGAACATGAGCTGATAATCAGTGGGTTTGACCGAGACACGTGGGACAGAGGGAGGAGGACGCTCCACGCAGCACCACGTGATCACCACAAAGACTGCATTAAAGACTTTATTAAACCTTGTTTAATAAATAAATACAAAACTAAAAGTGACAACAATGACTCATCTGTTCATTTAATCATATTTCATAATATTTAGGCAGCACATCTTTGCAGTAAAGCCCATGTGTTTTTTCGCTGTTTCAAGAGTTTTATCACTGTATTTTTAAGTCTGTCTATGAAGTGTGTGAGGACTGGCCCTGTATTTATGCATATACACGTAGATACGTGCACGCGCTGAACTGAATGGTCAAATTATGAGCGTGTGCGAGAGATTCGCACACGCTCAAACACTTCCTCAAACTCTGTTCACTTCTGCTTCTCTCCACGAGTGTCGCTTTTTCCCTGTGTCTCCAGACTTTGCGTAGAACTTACAGGAGGTCCCGAGTTGGCGTAGAGTTAAGCAAAGAGCCACGCCTTAGTCGAGTTTTATAAATACCGCGGTTGGCGTAGGAAGCGCGCATGCACGGATTTTTGCGTAAGCAAGCTTTATAAATGAGGCCCCTGACCTGTAACTTAACCTGGTTTGGTCTCCATCAAGACAGAAACGTTTAATGACACACTGTAAAACATTCCAACAATAACATCCCCATGGAGAAAAGCAGGTGGCGGACTCTCCAGCAGAAAAGTAACACAATGCACTTTTCATTTAAAACTAGGGATGTAACAATAATCGAAATATCGTGATATCATATCATCAAAAGTCTCACAATAATATAGTGGGTCTTCACAATATATCGAATCTCAAGTGTCTCTGCTTAAATTCATTGTTTTGATGCAGCAACAGCTAAAAAACTACATAGGCATAGTTATGATGCACTTTTAAATCTTAATTACTGGATTGTGATGAGAGTAAAGTTGCATACACCCAATGTAGTTTTTTTTTGTTTTATTTTGTTTTGGTTTTTTGCCTCCACAAAATATTGCAAGAAATATCATACTGTGAGAAGTATATCGTAAGTAAATATTGTATCCAGAGATTTGGATATTGTTACATCCCTATTTAAAACAGTATATTTTGGTGAAATTGCATCAACACACTAAACCATTAAAGAAAAACAACAACAACCATGAACCAGATTGAACATCTTTTGTCAAATAAAATGATTACCGCTGTTAAGCCTGTCACAGTAAATACTTCTGTATATCTGCTTATCATTCACCATAAAACATAGAACGATACTTTGTGAGGGTCAGTATTTATCGTGTGTGCTTCTGGGCAAGTTTTTGTTATTTTTCTGTACAGCAGTAGATTGAAAATGTAGAAGGTTAAATAAATAGCTTGTCAAAGTTATTACAGACACAATTTGGTACTAAAATGTTTTATTCTGCTATTGCAGGACGTGTTTCTAACTGATATTGTGTATTTAACAAAGTTTTTTGGGGGGTAATCCTGCTTCAAGCTTATTGTGTCAGTGGCATAAATAAGTTTCAGTATTATCATTTATTGTCTATATTTTTGTCATCAGTGTCAAACTTCCAAATGTGTTGTCGTGACAGGCCTAACCACTGTAACTTTTATTTTCTGCTGTGGAGGTCATAATTCCCAGCCTGAAAAGTTTGTGAGCCTATCGTAGTTAACATTTCCAACAATAATCTGGATAGTATTGTTGAAAAGAATAAGTCTTGATTTACCATCCAGATGTCCTTTACAATCTGAAGGTATTGTCCAGAATGAAAACATTTTGTAACATGAACCACTCCTGGACAAATCAGGGACTCCACCTCCTAGTTTGTAAGAATTATAGTATCTAATTGCAGCCTTTGAGATTTGCTAATTGCAATTTGCGGTTGTGATGAATCATACAGTCCCACTTTGAATCTTCATAATAACTTTCTGTTTATGTGTTTTGTTTTATACAGAAACATCTGGAGTTTAGCTTTAGTTTAATTAGTGTAATTTTAAATATTCAACAACAGTGACACAGCAGGTTTAAGAGCTGATTCATGGCTCATTTCTTTCCTCGTTTATATTGTGGTTAATGCAACATGGTGGAATAATTACATAATGGATGTAAGTTCATGGAGTGTTCAGGGAGAGGAGGTAAAATCAGTTTAATATTTCGGTATGTCATTGTCAGGTAATGATGTTACTGATGTTACCTTTGTTTTAGTTCTTAATTCATCAAATAAGAGACCATTTCAAAAGCAAATGTTTAACCACAAATTGTATCACATATGTAAATAATGGTAGTTATAATCTAGCAAAATATTGGATTACCAGTGTGAACATGTCCATTATGCAATAACATAATCATTTTGGCCACGTTTAAATGTAATTAACCCATAATGTGTAGTCAATAACGCAATAACATACAATAATTATTACTAACTGCAGTTAATATAAGTGTTGGGAGTAATGTGTTATAAAAGTAACAAATTACTGTAATGCACTGCTTTTTGCTGTAACACAGTAATGTTCGGCATTACAGGAAAAAAAAAAAGGCAATATTTTACTCGGTACAAATGTCAGTAACGCACGTCGCAATGTATTTTTAACCTGGACGGAAGTGGTGGTTTTTTCGTTTTTCATCATACAAATTCGATAAAATCACCGTGATATCACAGCAGCGAAATGTCGGAGACGCACCCGTGTAGACCGTTGGGTGCGCGCTTCACAGGGCGAACTGCAACTGACGCCCGATCGTGCCTTGCAGACATCCTGTTCCAAGGGCTCGGGGTTCTTTCAGGGGCAGTCCTAGTTTCCAAGTTCTAGTTCAAGATTAATCCTGGTTTGGTCCTGGTTTAGTTCTGGTGTAGACCTGGTTTAGACCTGGTTCAGTCCTGGTTCAGCTCTGATTTAGTCCTAGTTTAGTCATGTTTAGACCTGGTTCTAGTTTAATCCTGGTTTCACTCAGTTCAGTCCTATTTAGACCTGGTTCCTGGTTTAGTCGTCCTAGTTTCAGTTCTGGTGTAGACCTGGTTTAGACCTGGTTCAGTCCTGGTTCAGCTCTGATTTAGTCCTAGTTTAGTCATGTTTAGACCTGGTTAAGACCTAGTTTAATCCTGGTTTCGTCCTCAGTTCAGTCCTAATTTAGACCTGGTTCAGTTCTGGTTTTACTTTCCCTGATTAAGACGTAAGTCGAAACTCGTTGGTCGTTTGACATGAAATAAACTCATAGCAAAGCAGATCGGAGTGCCTCGGATCTCCTTTTTTCATCCTGGTTTAAACCTGGTTTAGTCCTGGTTCAGTCCTGGTTTAGTTCTGGTTTAGTTCTGGTTCAGTCCTGGTTCAGTCCTCCTGGTCCAGTCCTCCTGGTCCAGTCCTCCTGGTTCAGTCCTCT